GGAGCGCGGCGACGCTCCTGCCACAGGTTCGGATCCTATATAGGGATGGCCGGTGCGCTCACTGGCTGAGCACGGTGCGGGCGACACCACCCCAAGGGTTGTGATCCCCTTACCAGTCACGAAAAAGACAAAAAAAATTAACTTCCTAATTATAAAAGTAATTTATGCCCATTCTCTAGGGGTGCTTAGTCTTTGTCAGCCCTCAGAATAGCAAGCTGTTTAATTTGATTTTTTTTTTTTAAAGACGACCAGTAAGGGGATCTTAACCCTTGACTTGGTGTTGTCAGCACCACGCTCTCACAAGTGAGCTAACCGGCCATCCCTATACCATGTGTAGCTTTAGGCAAATTATTTTCTTTTTAGGCCTAAAATTCATCTTGGCTTCTTTGGAATTGCTTTCTAAGGCCTCTCTAATTAAAATGATTCCCTTCTAGCTTTTCAAACCTGCTTATTCTAGTCTATTCGTATAGTCAATGCACTTAGTTTGCCACTAGATGGCACTAGTGTACCTTTGAACCCCATCACCTCTAGGTTTTCAAAATCTGGGGAGCCTGAAGAGCCTTGGAATTTTAGCCTAGTCCACCCCTCTTCTTTAACACTTGGGGAACTGTGAGTCAGAGGTTAAGTGACATGCCCAAGGTCATACAGTTATTCAGAACCTCTTAAATACCAGGCATCAGTCTTTCCCCTGTACTGTGCTCTAGGACGCTTTGTGAGGGAAATGCAGAAAGAGACCATTTTCTCAACCATTCTTGTTCTTTGTTAGTTATTTTAAAAATAATTTAAAACTATTCTTTAAGTATATATACCATCACATTCAAAATAAACAGTCGGCTTGCTTTTGTGTTTCTGTATTGGCTCCCTGAGAGAGAAATCCTGGACTATCAGCTTTTAAAGGTTATTGCCTACCTACATCAACACACCTAGCTTGCCTTCATGACACCTAAATCTATACCTACTCCTACACCAACACCTATACCTATACCTGGCTTGCCTTCATAATTTGCCCTGGAAATAAACTCTATAGAAATCTCAACCGGAGCTTCTCTATCGATGCTCCGTTGTTGCCTAGCCCCTTCAGTAAGAGCTTTTCCTTTGAGCTCTTCCCTCCCACTGAACACGGTCATCCATTCTTCCGCTTCATCTTGTCCACCTGCCTGGCCCAATCCAGAGAGCCTTTGGAAGGAAAAGAGATATGCTTCTGGTTCTTCAAAAATTGATCTCCTGGGTCTTCGCAGCACATGTTAACTGCACTATTTTTTCCCCTTTTCTCTTTACCGGTGACAAGGATGTTATTGCCATAAATCATGCCTTGTGTGGGCTGAATGGTGTAGTGAGAGGTATTGTGCCCAAATGGAGAAGACATGGGCTTTGGAGTCACACTGACTGAGTGGCATCTGTCCTCTGTCCCTGACTTATTCTGTGGCCCTTCCTCATCTTTCTAATGAGGGTCATATCAACTACCTTGCAGGGTTTCATGAGGAATACAAGAGGTAATATATTAAGGCTCATGCTACCAGTGCTTGGCACACATGGTAGATGCTCATTAAGCACTGACTGTTTTGGTTGCTACTGTAAAGAAAGGAGCAGGAGTGACTGTAGTGTGTGAAAGGTGGGAGCTGAAGGCAGGGTCTCAGCCAGAGGAGCTAGGTTTTTTCTTCTTTTCTTTTCTTTTTTTTTTTTTTTTTTTTTTTTTTTTTTTTTTTGTTTATTAAAGATGACTGGTAAGGGGATCTTAACCCTTGACTTGGTGTTGTCAGCACCAGGCTCTCCCAAGTGAGCAATTGGCCATCTCTGTATAGGGATCTGAACCCGTGGCCTTGGCGTTATCAGCACCACACTCTCCCAAGTGAGCAATTGGCCATCTCTGTATAGGGATCTGAACCCGTGGCCTTGGCGTTATCAGCACCACACTCTCCCAAGTGAGCCACGGGCCGGCCCTAGGAGCTAGTATTTTATCAGAGAAAGAAGGGAAGGATGCAGTATATTCCAGGGTCTATGCCAGTGTTTCAGAGAAATAGTGTAGAACTGTGCTGTCCAATATGGTAGACACTAGCCACACATGGCAATTGAACCTTGACATGTGGCCAAACAAAATAGAGACATGCTGTAAGTGTTGGATACACATAAGATTTCAAAGACTTAATATAAAAAATTAATATAAAATATTTCAATAATTTTGTTTATTAATAACATGTTAAAGGAATCACATTTTGAAAATATAGAGTTAAAATGTTATTAAAATAAATTTCACCCATTTATATTTAATTTTTTAAATGTAGCTACTAGAAAATGTAATGAGGCTAGCATGATATGTCTACCTCATAGCACTGGACTAGAAGATAAAGATCGTGGTACTCAATACCACTCTATATTGAGGAATTATTTGAGAGTTTTTTTGAAGCTTCTTTTGATTTTGTTTTTCCTTTATTATGTTCTGTTCTTGAGAGTATGATCTTACTGAGCTAAGATGCCAGTCACTATTGGTAATAATAGTTTACAATTTAAAAAGAAAAAAGTAAAAGAAGCACCAGATATTCTCCTCAGGCCCCCAAATTCTGAGGATCTTAATTGAGAAGCAAGCGACAAGCAATTTACAAGATCCTAATGCTAAAAAACAAAACAAAACAAAAACATTGCATGATTTCAAAGAACAGGGTGTGTGCAAAGGTTCCCATCATAATTATATGTTATCAATGGATGGAATCTAGCAGTTAATGATCCTAGGATTTTCCTTCAATTGCAGATGATTAAAACAACTGCAGATATAATCAAGACTGAAAAGAAAAGAGAACCATAATACTTTTTTTGTCTTGTCTACTGGAGAATGTATTGAGTTATTTGTCTGATCTTTCATTAAATACGTCTTGGTTTGAAGACACTGATTATAAAACTTTAACTGGTTTTAAAAACTTAAAGGTCAGTAGTAACCTCATCACCAGCCTGTTTTAGAGCTATAAGGTAATTGTTAATTTTGGACATTTGCAACCTTTGTAAATCTCAGGTGCATAGAAAAATTAAGTTCTGAGGCTGGCCAGTTAGTTCAGTTGGTTAGAGCGCAGTGCTGATAACACTTCAACCTGATAACAGGTTCAATCCCTTACCACCCAGATGCCAAAAAATAAATTTAAAAGTTTTTTTATTTAGATTTTGAATTTACACTTGCTGGCTTTTATAACAACACATGGAAATAGTATTTGTTCTTTGCTGATGCAGAACACAAGCAGGGCACATGCATTTTGTGAACATTCAGGGCAGTTCTCACTGTTCTTGATTTAGTCCCAGAATGAAATTCTCATTCAAGTAAACTTGCTACCATAATTCATTGTATCTAAGATGCCATCAGTTGTTAGAGGCTCCTTTATTTTAAGTACCACTTTGTATTGAAAAAAAAAATGTTGCCTATAAAACTCTGATGAACTATTGGTTTTTAAGATGCATCTCTATTTTAGAGATGTTAAATGGTGGGGGGGAAGTATACCTTAGAATTGATGAAATATTATACACAGATTTTGAAACTTTCATCTTGGTTGGAAGTTAGAGAGCTTGTTTTATATATTTTATAAGGTAGCATCAGACTTTAGGCCTCTTGGAATATATCATGTTTAGTGAGTGTGGTTTGGTGCATTGAAGTCCTTTTCATTGATCCTATAAATAACCAGATGAAAGCAAAGTAGTGAGCTCATTTTTAAGTTGCTGGAAGTCCCATGATTCAGAAAAGTGAACTTCTAACTTTTAGTTTCAACCTAGCACCTCTGCTTCTCCTTTCTCTTGCCAGGCACACCCCCATCCCCTTTTCAGGCATTACCTATTCCTCTAACAAAATCTGTTCTCCATAAAGCCTCCTGAGATCAGTTATTTATAGCCTCTTGTGAATTCATGGCAAAGTGTTAAATTGCCCAAGGATGTTTGCTTTCTAAGCCTTATCTCTAATTTTGGCCTAAAAATCTTTATCTGCTTCAAGAACTTTCTGGCCTTTGCTGGCCATCTGGAACAAGTTTTGTGGGATTGGCTGAGGGAGGAGGGATGTACAGGCAGCCTCCTGCTCTGCCTCCATGGAAGGCTGTGGATACATAACAGAGCACCTCATTTCCTTTCCCACTCTGAAGTGTTCAACCAACTCTATGGGCTGGCTCACCGCCTTTGTACTGGAAGCCAGTAAGAAAATAGACTTTAATCTACTGCTGGCTTTACTATGTTTGAAAGGAAAACAGACTTAACTCATGGTAGCTGTATTTCTGACTAATTTCATTGAATTTTTATCAGTTTTATCCCCCTTTTGATAGAGGCTATTGAATTTTAAGGAAACCCTGTGATATAAAGAATTCTTTTGTAATTTGAACAGTTGCTTCCTGTTGTACCTGTTATCTACATCTCTATGTTTACACATCTTATTGACTTAACTCAGGCTTTACATTTTGAATGACTGTTTGGTAATCCAGATTCTGAGCCTCCTTTTTCTAAACTATTCTCAGGCATGCCTAAGCAGGTGTATGCTATGGCAGTTTGGCTCTTGGTTAAACTGCAGAAGTACTTACGGTCTAATTTGAAAAGGAAAGTGGAAATTTGTCCTTTAAAATTGGTAGTACATTCATCAGTTGTGAATCTGCTGATACTTTGTGTACATTCTACATAGTAGATGCTCAGTGAAAATGTTCAGTTAATCCCAGGTTTATATCAGGCTCTAATATAAAATTTATAAACAGACCTCTCCATTGCATTTATAAAATTTGGCTAACACAAAGTGTGGTCTTTCTCAGCAAAACATATGCAGTGATATTGCACATGCTTTCAGTGCTATATTAGCTTTGAAAAATATATGGAAAAATTAATTTCCATTGATAAATTTCCTACATTTAAACTAAAGGTAAGGCAAACATTTATTATATAGCTCTGCATTCTGTGTAGTGTGTTTGTTGACAGTATCTGAAATAATTTTCAGATTACATCATGTAAATGTACCTATGTGTTTGAATAACTTTCACTTTTGATCTTTGCAGCTCGGGGTGTGGTTTTCTCTAGGCTGTGCCTATTTGGCCTTGGAAGACTATGGAGGTTCAGCAAAGGCGTTTCAGCGTTGTGTGACTTTAGAACCTGATGTAAGTTTGTTCTTCTTTCCTTATCACAGCTCTTTAATATTGTCTAAGTTATCTTAATTGTACTGTATAGTTCAGAACAGCAATTTTTTTGTGTGTTGGAGGATAAATCTGGAAATAAGTTTCTTTTCATAATAGCTAAGTTATTTGTGGTTTCATTTAGGAAATAATTTTAATAAAACAAATTTTTTAGTTTATACGTTACTGATGTGTACAGCAAAATGTCATGTGTATTTTGTCATTCACTAACATGTGCTGCCTATGTTAATTGCATTACTCGAAAATTCTTTTAGTATTGAGTCTCTTCATATTAAACAGCTTAATTGACATAATAATTCACATACCATATAATTCACCTGTTTAAAGTGTACAATTCAGTGATTTTTTTAGTATATTCAGAGATGTGCAACCATTATTACAATCAACTTTAGAACAAAAGAAATCCCTGTCCTCATTAGCAGTCGCTCTCCATTTCTCTTCAAACCCCTTCCCCACTTCTTCTCCACACCCTACCCCCAGCCCTAGGCAACCAGTAATATGCATTCTGTCTCTATAGATTTGCCTGTTCTGGACATTTCATATAAATGGAATCAGACAATATGTGAGCTTTTGTGACTGGCTTCTTTCACTTAGACTAATGTTTTCAAGGTTCATCCGTATTGTAGTGTGTATCAGTACTTCATTCCTTTTTATAAGCAAATAGTATTCCATCGTATGGGCATATCACTTGTTATTTATCCATTCATCAGTTGATGGATATTTGGATTGTTCCCACTCTTTGGCTGTTATGAATACTACTACTATCAACATCCGTTTATAAGTTTTTGGTGGACATGTTTTCCTTCCTCTCAGGTATATAAGTAGTAGTAGAGTTGCTGGGTCATATGGTAGCTCTATATTCAAAATTCTGAGGAACTACCAAACTGTTTTCCATAGCAGTATTTTATATTCCACCAGCAATGTGTGAGGGTTCCAATTTCTCAACGTCCTTAACAGCACTAGTTATTATGTCTTTTTGATTATAGCCATTCTGGTATATGATACCTCATCATGGTTTATATTTATATTTCCTTAAATGGCTAATGGTGTTAGTATCCTTCCACACGATTACTGACCATTTGTGTACCATCTTTGGGGAAATGCCTGTTCACATTCTTTGCCCATTTTAATTGGATTATCTGTCTTTTTATTGTTGAGTTGTAAGGTTTTTTTTAATATATCCTAGCTACAAGTTCCTTATCAGATATATGATTTGCTAATATTTTCTCCCATCCTTTAAGTTCTTTTTCATTTTATTGATAGTGTACTTGAAGCACAAAAATTTTTAATTTTGATGAGGACCAGCTTGTCTATTTTTTCTTTTGTTGCTCATACTTGTGATATGATATCTAAGAATCCATTGCCAAATCCAAGGTCATGAAGATTTATCCCTGTATTTTCTTCTAAGAGTTTTATAGTTTTTGCTCTTAATTTAAGTCTAAGGACCATTTTAAGTTGATTTTTTTGTGTATGGTGTAAGGAAGGGGTCCAACTTCATTCTCTTTCATGTGGACCTCCAGTTGTTCCAGAACCATTTGTTGAAAAGACTTATCTTTCCCCATTGAATAGTCTTGTTGCTGTGGTCAAAAATCAATTGAATGTCAGGGTTTATTTATGGACCATCAATGACAGATGGTCCCACCTGATGATGGTTTGACTTATGATTTTTTGACTTTACAATGGTGTGAAAGCACTGCACATTCAGTAGAAACTGTACTATAATTTTGAATTTTTATATTTTCCTGGGCTAGTGATACGTAGGCAATACTCTTATATGAGATATGCAGCACTTTATTATAAAATAGGCTTTGTGTTAGATGATTTTGCCCAACTGTAGGCTAATGTAGTCTTCTCAGGACATTTAAAGTGGGTTAGGTTAAGCTATGATGGTTAGTAGGTTGGATGTATTTAACACATTTTCTACTTACAATAATTTCAATTTAACAATGGGTTTATTGGATGTGACCATATCGTAACTTGAGGGCACATCTACACATTTCATCAACTATGTGTCTATGCATATGCCAATACACTCTCTTTTCTCTACTGAAGCTTCATAGTAAGTTTTGAAAATGGTAACTGTGAGTACTCCAACTTTGGTTTTTTTCAAGATTGTTTTTGCTATTAATGGTTCTTTGAATTTTCACATGGGATTTTAGCTTTGTCAATTTCTGCCGAAGAGGCAGCTGGGATGTTGATAGGGATTACACTGAATCTGCAGATCATTATGAAGAGTATTACCATCTTAATATTAAGTCTTTCAATCCATGAACTTGGACTGTCTCCATTTATTTAGATTTCTTTCAATATTTTATAATTTTGTGAGTATAAGTTTTATACTTCTTTTGTTATTTCCAAGTATTTTATTCTTTGTTTTTTAATTTGTTTTTAATGGAAACATAATTGATTATACTACTTATGGGGTACAGGGATGACTACCAATATTTGTGTACAGTTCTTGATGATCGAATCAATATTATTAGCATGTTCATCATTACAAATCATAATTATTCTTTATATCCCTTACCCAATTTCTTCCTAACCCCCCATCTCCCTCCCTCTTTCCCACCTCTAGTATCTATAGGTCTGTTCTCTCCTTCTGAAAGTTCAAGGTATTATTGTGGTCAGTCTTCCTTCCTCCCTCCCTCCCTCCCTCCCTCCCTCCCTTTCCTCCCACTTATGAGTGAGGACATGAGGTTTTTTCTTTCTGTGCCTGGCTTATTTCATTTAACATAATTCTCTGTGTATACCACATTTTCTTTATCCAGTCATCTGTGGATGGACATTGACATTGGTTCCAACTCTTGACTATTGTAAATAGACCTGTGATAAATATGGGAGTGCAGGTATCCCTTTGACATGATGATTTCCACCCAGAAGTGGGATTGTGGGATTGCTGGATCATAGGTAGTTCTATCTGTAGTTGTTTGAGAAACCTCCACACTATTTCGATAATGGCTGTCCAAATTTACAGTCCCACCAACAGTGTAGGAAGGTTCTTCATTCTCTGTATCCTCGCCAGTATTTGTTATTCTCTGTCTTTTTAATAATAGCCAGTCTAACTGGGGTGAGATGATATCTCAGTGTGGTTTTGATTTGTATTTCCTTTATGACTAGTGATGTTGAGCATTATTTCATGTACCTATTGGCCATTTGTATGTCTTCCTTTGAAAAACATCTATTCAGCTCTTTTACAATTTTTTAATTGGGTTATTTGGCTTTTTACTGTGAAGTTGTTTGAGTTCCTTGTATATTCTGGATATTAATCCTTTCTCAGATGCGTAGTTTACAAATCTTTTCTCCCATTCTGTAGGTTGTCTTTTCACTCTGTTGATTGTTTCCTTTGCTGTGTGAAAGCTTTTTAGTTTGATATAATCCCATTTGTTTATTTTTTTCTTTTGTTGCTTGTGCTTTTGGGGTCTTATTCATAAAGTCTTTGTCTAGTCCTACATCCCGAAGTGTTTCCCCCATGTTTTCTTCTAGGAGTTTTATAGTTTCAGGTCTTATAAGTCTTTAATCCGTTTTGAATTGATTTTGGTATATGGTGAGAGGTACAGGTCTAGTTTCATTCTTCAACACATGGACATCCAGTTTTCCCAACTCCATTTACTGAAGAGGCTGTCCTTTCCCCCATTTATGCTCTTGGTGCCTTTGTTGAAGATCAGTTGGCTGTAAGTATGTGGTTTGATTTCTGGGTTCTCTATTCTGTTCCATTGGTCCATGTGCCTGTTTTTATGCCAGTACCATGCTGTTTTGATTACTATAGCTTTATAGTTTGAAGTCAAGTAGTGTAATGCCTCCAGTTTTATTTTATTTTATTTTTTGTCCAGGATTGCTTTGGCTATTCATGGTCTTTTGTTGTTCTATATTAATTTTAGGATTGCATTTTCTATTTCTGTGAAGAATGTCATTGGTATTTTGATGGGGGTTGTATTGAATCTGTAGATCACTTTGGGTAGTGTGGACATTTTCACAATGTCAATTCTTTCAATTTATGAACATGGAGTGTCTTTCCATCTTTTGGTGTCCTCTTTAATTTCTTTCAGCAGTTTTGTGTTTCTCATTCTAGATATCTTTTACCTCTTTAGTTAAGATATTTTATTCTTTTAGTAGCTATTGTAAATGTGCTTGCTTTCTTGATTTCTTTTTCTACTTGTTCGTTGTCAGTGTATAAGAATGGTACTGATTTTTGTGTATTGATTTTATATCTTGCAACTTTACTGAATTTGTTTATTAGTTCTAAGAATTTTTTGGTAGAGGTTATAGGGTTTTCTATATATAGGATCACGTCATCTGCGGACAGTGACAATTTGACTTTGTCTTTTCCAATTTGGATGCCCTTTATTTCTTTCTCTTCCCTGATTGCTCTGCAAATACTTCCAATACTGTGTTGAATAGGAGTGGTATAAGTGGGTGTCCTTGTCTTGTTCCTGTTCTTAAAGGAAAAGCTTTCAGTTTTTCCCCATTTAGGTTGATGTTGGTGGTTGGTTTGCTGTATATGATTTTTACTGTGTTGAGATACTTTACTTCTATTCCTAATTTGTTGAGGGTCTTCATTATGAAGGGATGCTAATGTTGTTGCTTTTTCTGCATCTATAGAGATAATCATATGATTTTTGTCCTTGCTTTTGTTGATGTGGAGTATCACATTTATTGATTTGCATATGTTGAACCATCCTTGCATCCCTGGGATGAATCCCACTTGATCATGATGTATAATCTTTTTGATGTGCCGTTGTATTCTGTTTGCTAATATCTTGTTAAGGATTTTTATATCTATGTTCATCAAGGATACTGGCCTGTAGCTTTCTTTTGTTGTTGTTGTTGTGTCTTTGTCTGATTTGGTATCAGGGTGAAGCTGGCCTCATAGAATGAGTTTGGGAGAATGGCCTCCATTTCAGTTCTTTTGAGTAGTTTGAAAAGGATTGTTAATAGTTAATTAAAATTAACAATTAACTATTAACAATAACAATAGTTAATTCTTCTTTAAGGGTTTGGTAGAGTTCAGCAGTGAAGCCATCTGGTCCTGGACTTTTCTTTGCTGGGAGACTGCTAATTACTGTGTCAGTATCATTACTTATTATTTGTCTGTTTGGGTTTTGTATTTCTTCTTGGTCTAGTCTTGGTAGTCTGTATGTGTGTGGAAATTCATCCATTTCCTCCAGATTTTCAAATTTGTTGACATATAGCTGTTCATAATAGTCTCTAATGATTCTTTGTATTTCTGTGGAATTGGTTGTAATGTCTCTTTTTTCATATCTGGTTGTTGTTTGTGTCTTTTCTCTTATTGTTTTTAGTTAGTCTGGCCAATGGCTTGTCTATTTTGTTTTTCCTCTCAAAAAACTGCTTTTTGGGGGCCGGCCCGGTGGCGCACTGCTACAGTGCGCCGCTTGGGAGCGCGGTGGCGTTCCCGCCGAGGGTTCGGATCCCACATACAGACCAGCCGCTTACTGGCTGAGCGAGGTGCGGGCGCAACACCGAGGGTTGCGATCCCGTTGATTTTAGGCTGACAGTTATTTTCACTGAGCGCTTCAAAAGTAGTATTCTATTGTCTTCTTTAATCTCGGTGATCTGCTGTTCTCTAATTGTCATTCCTTTGTATGCTTTAGGAATATCTTTATGTTCTGCAATATCACACAATATGATCATAAAATTAGATTTTTTTTTCAGTTCTGGAAAATGTTTGGCTATTATCTTTTTGATATTTAACATCCTGCCATTTTCTGCACTCGTTTACTCTAGAATGTCTATCAAATGTCTTTCAAGAAAGAAAGGAAATACTTCTTCAGATTCACTCAGTTATAAAATAATATCCTTGTTACTAGTAAATAGATTAGGGAAAGAGTATGTCTTGTATGTATGCTATACATACCACAGGATGTGTCCTTGAATTTTGTAGGGAAATTTGAGGTGGTTTGGGTTGTTTGGACCTCTATTTATTTATTCATTTTTTCCCTTTTTGTCTTTTTTCGTGACCGGTAACGGGATCGCAACCCTCGGTGTCGCGCCCGCACCACGCTCAACCAGTGAGCGGACCGGTCTCTATATGGGATCCGAACCCTCGGTGGGAGCGCCGCCGCACTCCCAAGCGCCGCTCTCTACCGAGTGCGCCACCAGGCCGGCCCTGGACCTCTATTTATTAACCTGAACGATGAAGGACTGACAGACCACATTAGCACTTTATACATTTAGCTGTGGTTTATCCTAATAAAAAGAATTCATTATTGCTGTTTTTAAAATTTGACTTTCGATAGAGTAAAAGCTTTTAGAACATTACAAGAAGCTCTCAAGTGTAACTATGAACACTGGCAAATCTGGGAAAACTACATTCTCACCAGCACTGATGTTGGGGAATTTTCAGAAGCCATTAAAGCTTATCACCGGCTCTTGGACTTACGAGACAAATACAAAGATGTTCAGGTAGGATATTTGTGTTTTGTTCTTTCAGTTTGTGTTTGATATTAATCCTTGATTATACAATATAAGTTGTTTCCTTGCATGTGCACAGGAATATTTTGTTAAATACATATAATATATGAAAAGAATGTTTTTTTCTCTAATGAAATGTCCTTAGTTACATATTAATTCTGGCATTCTCGTATAACTTCGTATAATGTATGCTATACGAAGTTATTACGATTCCTAGGTATTTACTTAATGGACTCCTGGTTTTTGTAATCTAGTTTTCATCTCCAATGCAGACCAAATTGTCTAAATATTTGAAATGGAATCCCAGTGCCAACCACTTCTTTTTCCTTTTTTTTTTTAAGTGCAGTATAATTTGAAAACTGCACACAAATTTCAAATGTACAATTTGATCAGTTTTGACAAATGCATACCGTTCTTTAACTTACACCCTTTTCAAGATGTAGAACATACGAGCCATCCTAGAAAGCTCCTTTGTGTCCTACACTCCATCAATAACTATAAACTCTTGCCCTGTGTTCCTTAACAACCACTGTTCTTAATTTTTCTCTCTATGCATTAGCTTTGCCTATTCGATATCTTCACATAAATGGAGTCATGAGTTTATAATGACTATGAACTCATTTTTTCTGGCTTCTTTTCACCTGATATATATTTCAGATTTTCATCCATGTTGATAATTGTAACAGGAATTTATTTCTTTTTATTGCTGTATAGTACTGCATCGTATGAATGTACCCAATTTGTCTATACCTTGTCCTGTTGATAGATAGTAGGGTTATTTCTACTTTTTGGCTATTGTGAATAAATCTACTGTGAACAAATCTTTGTGTGGACAGAGGTTTTATTTCTCTTGGATAAAAACCTAGAAGTGAAATTGCTTGATCATGTTTTTGATGCTATTGTAAATGTTTTTGTCCTTTTAATTTTATTTCCCAGTTGTTCATTGGTAAAATAAAGAAATTACAATTGATTTTTGTATATTGGTTTTGTATCCTTTGGATACTTTTTTTTCCCCCTTGTATGTATTATGTCTTTTTAGTTTATCAGCTTTTAAAGTTTCCCTTTTTTTTAATTTTTAATTTTTAATGATTTAATTATTTTGTGTCTTGGTGTGGTTTTCTTTGTACATATCCTTCTTGGGGCTTTATTAACTTTTTGGATCTATTGGATTACACTGCTTTATTCTCTTTCTCCTTACTTTCTGGTACCCTAATTTTAAGTATATTATACTACTTATATTGTCCAGTAGATCCCTGAAGTTCTATTCATTTTTCTTATTTTTTCTGTACTTCAGTTTGTCTAGTTTGTATTGCTGTATCTTCAAGTTCAGAGATTTTATTTTCTGCCATGTCCAATCTGCTGTTAAACTTATAAATTAAACTTATTTCAGTTAATGTATTTTTTAAAAGTTCAAGAATTTTTGTTTGTTCTTTTAGTGGTTTTCATGTCCCTACTGAGATTCCCCAGTCATTCCCTCATTATGTTCATGTTTTTCCTCAGATCGTTGATCATGTCTATAATAACTGCTTCGAGGTACTTGTATGCTTATTCTAACATCTTTTTTCATTTCTGGGCCTGTTTCTATTAACTGATTTATTTATTTATTTTTTGGTTATAGGTGAAAATTTCCTGCTTCTTTGCATGTCTTCCAATTTTTTATTGTATTCTGCACATTGTAGATGCTATGTTGTTGAGTTTCTGGATTGTTGTTGTCTTCCCTTAAGGAAGGTTGAGTTTTATTTTGGCATTCAGTTAATTTACTTTTGGATCAGCTTGATTTTAAGCTTTGTTATGGTGGGTCTGTAGTTTTCCTTATTTTCTAGGGTTATTATAATAACCTTTCTTTTAAGATATAACCTTTCTAGGATTGAAATTTATGCGATGGGTAATCACCAAGAACTCTCCATTCTTGTTGGTTGGAACTTGAATAACAGTGCTGTGCCACCTCCAAAATCTCCATTCAGCTCAGCTGTCTGGTAGTTGCTCCCTGCCAGGTCTCAGGAATTTTTACCTGCACGTGTACAGCTTAGTATTTAGCCAATGACTCAAGGGGATGCTTATTGAGATTTCTAGAGCTTATTCTCTGCACAGATCTCTCTTTCCTGGTGTTTTACCCTGCAAATTCCAGCCACCTTTTCATCCCTGAACTCTGATTTCTTTTTCCTCATCTCAGTAAGACTGACTGTGTTTGTTTAGTTTCTACCTGTCTGTGCTGTGGCCCTGAAAGTGCTTCTAGACTGAAGGGTAGGTTGATTGTTGAGACCTCAGTTTTTTCTCTTCTCAAGGATCACACTCTTGTACTGCCTGTTGTCCAACTTCTCAAAAGCAGTTCTTTTCTTTATTTTGTCCAGCTTGTAGCTTTTTATGGTGAGAGGGCTAGTCTGGTACTAATTTTGCCATGTCTGGAAGTAAAATTCCAGTGCCACTTAATTTTTGAATCATGTGTATGGAACTTGAGAACTATATACTGCATATTTTATAAAAAGTGAAACAAAGAGGAGCAAACAATTCATATAGTTTTTGTTAGAATCAACATTTATATAAAGCCTTTAACTTATTTTTGTCATTGGGTAGAAGAATAGGTAGAGAAATATGTTTGATGAAATACTTAGTAGTAACACTGGAGAACAGATTCTCACTCTTTTATTTGTCTGTCTGATGAAGAAGGATGATGGTAAAATAGCAAAGCCTTTTAAGACAGGAAAAACAATATTCTACATTGCCTTGGATTTGTAATTAATCTCTATGTTATATAAGTTATATTGTAAATTATCCAAATATTTTGTAAATCTAAATTTTTAAATAAAAACTGAATTCCAAATCAGTGCTGTTATAGTTGTATGATTTGGTTGACTCTTTTTTTGAATTTTTTTTCTAACTTATAAAAGTTAAGTTTAATTTTGTCACATACCTTTAAACATACTTTATTGAAAATTGTGATTCTAGAGAGAATATGTTGGGCTAGGAGGATGTGTTGTATTTTGGGTTTTAGCAATTATTTTACCTAAATGAGAATAATCTGTAACTGGGTTCTCTATCATTTCAGAATGCTGAGGCTTGGAACAATTTATCAACTTCCTATATCCGATTAAAACAAAAGTAAGTACATGAGAAAACTATGAAGAACTTTGCTTCTAAAATAAATGAATGCTATTTTCATTCATTGAACTGAACATTTCATCCAACTGAACATTGCAACACTGTGCCTTTCTCTTGGTCTTTTTCCCTTTCCCACCCATGTCAGTGAGTTAGAATGACTTAATATATAATATAGCCCTTTGAATTTTAAAGGTACAATTTATTTCTTGAAACTATGAATATACAGTAAAATAAGAAATATTACTTGAAATCTTTGATACTGAAATTTTGCACCCTAAATTTTATTACATGATAAAAGCAAGCCTGCTTTAATCAGTCAGCTTAATTAATAGATTTTTATTGATTGCTTATTGTGTACCAGACATTATTAAGAAATGTAAATAAGTATGAACCAATGTCTTCATGGAATATAGGCTTAAAAAACAAAATATTATGCCATGTTATTTTAAAAAATGATTAACAATATAAGCTATATATGGTAAATATCAAATGGGACTACAAAGAGGGCTATAATAATAGAAGGTGATATTTGAGCACTTGTTAGTGCAAGACACTCATTAGTCTTGTGAGGATCTCGGAAGAGAGATGTATGATCCCAGCTCAGAAACACTTCTGAGAGAATTAGACTCAAGCTCAAATTTGAAGAATGGGTAGAGGGGCAGGAGAAAGCCTTTTGGGCAAAGGAGATGATGTCACCAAATGCAGAGTGACTGGAATGAATGCAGCATATGAGGAGACAGGAAGTAATAGTCTGCTGTAAAGTAATGCAGGATCAATAGTGAGAGATACAGTTAGAAAGGTAGATTGGGGTCAGATTGCAGTCAGTATGTGTTCTGATTATCCGATAGCAAGTTGAGGCTGTCCTGTTAGTAACAGGAAGTCAGAGATTTGGGTGGGATAATTTCATGAAGAAGAAACTTTTTAGGAAAATTTATCTCCTGGCAGTGTGTGAGACAGACTAGAGAGGAAACTGGAGGCTGGGAAACCAGTTAGGAGACAGCTGTTGTAACAACCCAGGCATGAGATAACTAGAATGGAAAAAGAAGGGGCAGATGCCAAACGGTTTACAAAGGGGACAACCATCTGGGCTTATTGACTGGCTAGGAAAGGGAAGAGACAAGGATTGCTGTTGCCAGAGTTTTAATGAATTAACTAAAGGATGGATATATTTCCATTTTTATTTAGCCCTGTTTTCAAACTTAATTTTTCTTTGTGGAGTCACGAGAAAGTTCTGAAGACATCATTAAGTTCATGTTTTGTTAAGATCATGAAATGCTTCCTGTGCTCTGGGATGACAATCCACATAAATAAAATTCTGTTTGTTCTACCATTCTCTTCAGAAAATAATATTATGTTCTTGATTGCAATTGATTGTGTTATAACTCACTGGAGACCTTTTTCGTTTAAGGCAACGGGCAGGGGAAATCCCTGTCATAGTTGCAGAATGATCTCTGAGTTTTTCTTGTAACCCAGACAATTTTGTATATAGTGATGCTCTTGATATTCTACCTTGTCTTCCAGTCCAGTAGTCTCAGGAAATCTGGTTGCTTTCTTAAAGATTCTTGCATATTGTTCCTCAGCCTCTCTGTTACTTTCTTGCCTTCCTGCAGCTCAACAAATAGGTTTTTGTGTAAAAGTGGGGTTGTAAGGTGAGCAATAAACCATTCCTTTATTCTCTCCTTTCTTTGCTACTGCTCCAGCTAATTCTTGACTATCTTGTTTATCCCTTTGTTGTCACAAGGTTCTTCACTAAAGTGCTGCTTCCACTGTTTCATCTGAAAATGAAAATTTCCCATCTTAGTATATAACTTTCATAGTGAAGGATTTCTAACATAGTGGGTTTGATAAGTGAATCCTGAAATTAAGCTCCTACTAAGCAGGAAAGAAAAAAGAATACATTGTGAAAGTTTTGAGGCCAGGAAATTGTGATTAGAGGATGGGAGGATATATAGGAAAAAGGATAACCCTCATGGTGTTGATTGCTGATTGTTGAGTTCTTTTCAGATAGGATAACTTCACCTTCAACTCCCTGTGGATAAGGGAAGTGGGAAGTCTCAGTTGACCACTGTTGAAAGGAGTTGCTGTTACATAGGAGGTGGTGGTGGGGGGGTGGAGTAAAGAGGAAAACAAGAAAAATATCCCATAGATTTATGGCTGAATTTGAAAAAGTGTTTTCTTTCTTTCTTTTGAGTTCCTTTTTATTTTTCAAGAGGGGATCCATTAGTAGTTCTTTTAGTTAGAATCAGTAGAAACTTTCTTAGTCTTTGTATTAACTGAAAATGTTTGATTTTACATTTACTCTTGAGTGGTAAATTTAGCTTGTAAAATTTTAGGCTGACAGTTATTTTCACTGAGCGCTTCAAAAGTAGTATTCTATTGTCTTCTTTAATCTCGGTGATCTGCTGTTCTCTAATTGTCATTCCTTTGTATGCTTTAGGAATATCTTTATGTTCTGCAATATCACACAATATGATCATAAAATTAGATTTTTTTTTCAGTTCTGGAAAATGTTTGGCTATTATCTTTTTGATATTTAACATCCTGCCATTTTCTGCACTCGTTTACTCTAGAATGTCTATCAAATGTCTTTCAAGAAAGAAAGGAAATACTTCTTCAGATTCACTCAGTTATAAAATAATATCCTTGTTACTAGTAAATAGATTAGGGAAAGAGTATGTCTTGTATGTATGCTATACATACCACAGGATGTGTCCTTGAATTTTGTAGGGAAATTTGAGGTGGTTTGGGTTGTTTGGACCTCTATTTATTTATTCATTTTTTCCCTTTTTGTCTTTTTTCGTGACCGGTAACGGGATCGCAACCCTCGGTGTCGCGCCCGCACCACGCTCAACCAGTGAGCGGACCGGTCTCTATATGGGATCCGAACCCTCGGTGGGAGCGCCGCCGCACTCCCAAGCGCCGCTCTCTACCGAGTGCGCCACCAGGCCGGCCCTGGACCTCTATTTATTAACCTGAACGATGAAGGACTGACAGTCCACATTAGCACTTTATACATTTAGCTGTGGTTTATCCTAATAAAAAGAATTCATTATTGCTGTTTTTAAAATTTGACTTTCGATAGAGTAAAAGCTTTTAGAACATTACAAGAAGCTCTCAAGTGTAACTATGAACACTGGCAAATCTGGGAAAACTACATTCTCACCAGCACTGATGTTGGGGAATTTTCAGAAGCCATTAAAGCTTATCACCGGCTCTTGGACTTACGAGACAAATACAAAGATGTTCAGGTAGGATATTTGTGTTTTGTTCTTTCAGTTTGTGTTTGATATTAATCCTTGATTATACAATATAAGTTGTTTCCTTGCATGTGCACAGGAATATTTTGTTAAATACATATAATATATGAAAAGAATGTTTTTTTCTCTAATGAAATGTCCTTAGTTACATATTAATTCTGGCATTCCAATGTTAAATGTGTTTGTGCAATCATAAACTGAATATTACTGTGACTGAAATTACAGTTATGAAAATCTGATATGTGGTTTACATATACACAATCAATTTGCAGAAACTAAATAGAACGCTGTTTCTTTTACTTACTACTTTGGGTATTCTAGATTTGTAATTGCTTGAGTAAATCCCATACTCATTTATTTGCTCATTTAACAAGTATTTACTGCAAGCTTTCAGATAGTATGAAAATATGGAAATGATGGCTAACATTTTCTTTGCAATGTTTAACGAGATAGTGAAATGAAGTTATTTTTCAGAAAATACGGGAGATTTGAAGCTACTGCATTTGTCATCCAATAGGATTACATAAGCAAGACCTTTTGGGTTTAATTGTGATTGAAGACAGTGTGTAAAGATAGGGTATGCAGAAGGTTATGGGCTATGAAGTCAGAAAGCTAGAAAATTTAATATTTTATTTTCAATAATCAACATATGCTTTTAAAAGGATGAATTTGGAATTATGGAAAAAAAAACCAGGAAATAACATAATATGTGATACTAGCTTGCTAGTATTATGACTTATTATCTGTCTCCCAGTTGTTCTAAAATTTAACTTATCTGGGCCCTCTCTTATAGCCTCAGTCCTTGATTTGTGTACATGGTCTTGCAAACCCAGCCATATCATTGACCAAGTTATTTTAAGGTTCAGGTTCTAGGCAATCCACTTGAAAGATCTATGGCTTCAGGTAAAACCATATACCCACTTGCAGGAGCAAGTTGACCCCTTCAATTACTTTTCTTTTTCTTTTTTTTGTACTTTCTAAATATTGTACATCGAGCATCCATCATAGAAAGAAGGGACTTGGATTTTACAGTGTAAGAGATCACTTAAAACATGAGTAGAGGCACAGCAGTTTTACATCCTAGAGAGGACAGGAGCTCTGATAAATCTATTTGCATAGTCCCCTGGCAGTCCAGTACTTGGCCTGTTTGTGCAGCTGAAATTCTCCATTGAGACAGTTATTTCTCTTCTACACTTAGCTGCTCGGCAAAGGGTACTGATGAGACTCAGAACAGATGTCAGTATGTTGCCAACCACTGAGGATTGTGCTTATCTTTTGTTTACTTCATCTGTGATTTTTAAGATCCTTCTTTACTAAGAAAGTTTTCTGAAACCTGTTTCTAAAATCTCAGGAAGAATGTAAATAATTTTACATTGGCAGTGTATTCCATTTAACTCTTGAAATAAATTGTGTTGTTTTCATTTGCATTTATAAAATGTACACGAAACACTCGAATCCAACACTCCTCATTTAGATATCACTGCTGACTCAATTCTAGCATTCTTTAGAATCACAGACTGTTAGAACACAAAGGGACCTTAGAGGAGTCCTCTAGGGCTATGCTGAATAAGCTTACACACCATATCAGAAAGGAGTGTGATGCTCCCCTTCTTCCTGGTAAATCTAGACAGGAGGATTCTCCAAGCTGTCAGTCTGCTTCCCTACCCTACGGTATTGCTGCTTGTTGCTTGACTGTGTCATCTCTTCCTTAATTGGCTTAGAATTGGCTTCCTTGGTCAGTCTTATCCCATTAATCTTCTGTCATGTACCTCCATTTTCTAACTGATCTGCTTTTCTTTCTGATGTGAGTGGGATTTCCTCTATAAATCTATACTTTAACCAAAAGTAATCCTTCATATCTACCGGGGATTAGTAACAATTGGCTCACCACTTTCTGAATCCTGAGAAAATCCTGATTAACATTTCATGCGTGGCACCAATAGAACTCGGTTTTATGTAAAGAACCCAAATAGCTAGGTCTAGGTACCTCTCCCCATGTAAGAGATGAACTTGTGTGGGTTATGGTATGTAAGCATCAAAAGAAGGAGGTTTTGCTATTTTATCTCTCACTTATTCTGCCCTGCTTCCCAAGGCACATAAAGCGGATCAATGTGGGACATGGTAAAGTAACAATAACTAATATTTATTGAGGGCTTGCTGTGTGTCAGATGTGATTCTAAGCACTGTATGTGTATTAGCTCATTTAATTTTTATCACAGCTATGTGTGATAGATTTGTATTGTTGTAAGCTACATCTGACTCTGGAATGTATGTATGTATGTCTCTTCCCCCTTTGTTTTAAGGAAACTAAGGATATCAGACAAAATAACTATTCAAACATTGTTTTGAAAAGCTGTTACTACTACACCATAAAGAGTTATAAAGTCATCAAGATACTGCTGATTTTAGTTGACTTAGGTGTATCAAATACAGCCAAATCTTCTAGCTAACTCATACCTGAGAGGCATGTATCCCAAAAGAAAAGTAAGATGAAGATGATGATTTAGAATAAAATAGGCTCAGCCTAGATCATTCCTGTCTCTTGCTATTACAATTGCCGAAAAGGTATTGGAGAATTTTACTTAAATTTCCTTTTGTTCTCCACCCTACCCCCAGATTAGAAGTCTCACTCTTTCTCAGGATGAAAAAAAAATCTTGCTAATATTTATAAAATACGGCTGTATTTGAGAGTTTGTAAATGTATGGTGAGAGAACTGACATTTAGAATAATCTGTTGGTAGTCACAGTGATAGATACCAGTGGAGATAGTGCTGGCAAAAATAACCTGAGTATAGTTGGTTGATTCTTTTTTTTTTTTTGTCCTTTTTGAGACTGGCCACACCGCGCTCAGCCAGTGAGCGCACCGGCCATCCCTATATAGGATCCGAACCCGTGGCGGGAGCGCACTCTCCCGAGTGCGCCATGGGCTCGGCCCTTGTTGGTTGATTCTAAAGATAAAACTTTCAGTTGTTGATTTGGCATATTGTGTACCAAATCAAATTCATTGAAATTGTAAGAATACTTGCTTAGAAATCTTTCAGGAGCGTTTCCTAAGAAAGAATAAAAGGATCCAAAATGCATGGAGATGCATTTGAGAATTTTTCAGAAAAAGAAAAAAAAAAAATCTTTAAAAAAAACCTCTCCCAGCATGAATTGAGATACTTTGATTTAACTTTAATCTGAAATGGATTTTTCAAACATATTTTAGTGCTCATATTCATAGCTTCTCATCTCTCTAATCATAGGAAATTTTCAACCTTAGCAAAATTGTGTTCTGATTCCCATTTAAAATTTCTAATGCTCTACTTGTTTTAACACAGTATTAACTTATATCATTCTGAATGTAAGTGAAAATTTAGTTGTTTTCTAGAGAAAATTATTAGGTTTATTTAAATTCATGGCCGGTTATTTTTTAATATCTTTTTTCCTGTAATTCTCCCTTTGTTCCTCAATTTTAGAATATAAAACAAACTTTCTTTTGTACAATAGTATTTCATCTAGCATGAATATTTCAATGAATTTGAAATTAATTACTATAACAGTTCAGTATTTTTAGAAACAATCAGCGGTGGCATTTGTATTCTTGAGACTTCCCTCCCACAGACAGGAGCAGTCCACACACAGGAGCACTAAGAACTGTTCCTGTTAGGCAAAATATTACTCATCAGCAAACCGTTTTGAGAAGCATAAGGTGCTATAAAAATGTCGGGTGTAATGGCTGTTAGCTTAATTTCCGTATTTAGATATTTTAGGGAAGTATTACTGAAAACATAACAACTAGATAACCAGTGACTTGCTGAGGTCAAATGATCTTTAGTATTCCGTATTACTGAAAACATAACAACTAGATAACCAGTGACTTGCTGAGGTCAAATGATCTTTAGTACCTGGTAGAGAACTCTTAGGTATTCAGATGTAGAAATAGCCATGGTGAGGTAATTTGTCCTTTTATGTCATAAAAGAGTTTATTACTGGACTTTCTATTCTGTTTCATTTTTTGATGTGTCTGTTTGAATGCCAGTAACATGCTGTTTTGATGGCAATATCTTTGTAATATATATTTTGAAATCAGGGAGCGTGATGCCTTCAACTTGGTTCTTTTTGCTCAAGATTGTTTTGTCTATTTGGGGTCTTCTGTGGTTTCATACAAGTTTAAGGATTGTTTTTTCTATTTCTGTGAAAAATGACATTGGAATTTTGATGGGGATTGCCTTGAATCTATAGTATGCTTTGGGCAATATGGACATTTTGACAATATTATTTCTTCCAATCCATGAACACGGGTTATCTTTCCATTTATTTGTGTTTTCTTCAATCAGTGTTTTATAGCTTTCAGCATACAAGTTGTTCACCTCCTTGGTTAAATATACACCTAAGCATTTTATTTATTTTTGTTGCTATTGTAAATGGTATTGTTTTCTTAATTTTCTTTTCAGATAGTTCATTATTACTATATAGAAATGCTACTGATTAATTGAGGTGTAATTTATATATAATAAAATGCACAGATATTGTGTTAGCTTGATGTGTTTTGACTATTATATAGACTATATAACCACCACCTGATACAGTTATGGAACATTATCATCACCGCAGAAAGTTTTCTTATGTCTCCTTCCAGGAAATGGAACCACCACCCCTTTCCCCCAACCAGGCATCTACTTTCTGATTTCTGTCACCACAGTTCAGTTTTGCTTTTTCTTGAATATCATATAAATAGAATCACAGAACGTGTATTCTTATATATTGATGTTGTTCTTTGTGTGGATTTCCATTTGGGGTTTTCTTTGGGGACAGGAGAAGGTGGTGACGTGCAGTGGTGCAGTTTGCCAACCAAAGTGAAGTCCTGGAATGTGTGGTGGCTGATACTACCTGAAAGTAAAGAGGGGAGGGAATGGACATACTTCATACAAATTGCAGCTTTGTAAAATAGGTATTACCTCCATTTTGCTGATGAGGTATCTGAAGCTCAGCCAGGTCTACTAATAAGG